GTCAAATCAGATAGACACATCAATAGCAGCTCAAAAGCCAATCAGCCGTGAAAACTGCTTTGAAGAAGAGCTCTCTGATATGATTCAGCTGATGGTTTTATCACAGAGCCTTCTCAGAAACTGTGACGGGCAAAAAATGCAAGCAGTGTCTTTTCATAGTTGGGAAGGGGCCTGTTTTAGAAAAAATGAAGCACCCAGTTCACTGCCTGCTGTCTCCAAAACCTTGTGAAAAACTCTTTGCTTCTTCCCTATTTAGTTAGATGAAGGTGAATCCGATTAAAGCCAGACGCTACCCGGTTAAAGTCAGCCTAGGCGTAGGCGCCTGAAACACAGGCTTATGATCTAGCTTTAGTCAGTCCACTCCAAAACCTGTTGTCACATATCAGTGGAACACTGATCAGTTGGAATGTTCATGTTTTGGCTACAACAGATAGTTTGGAGCTTAGCGTTAGAATCCTGTAAGCATCCAGCTGCTCTGCAAGGTGAGAAAGGGCCCCCAGCCGTCCTACCGGCCGGTAGAGGAGCAGAGCAGCTCCTCTACCGGCCGTGTTAAACGAGCAGAGCAGCTTCTCTACCGGCCGTTAGAGGAGCTGCTCTGCTGGGAGCCCCCGCAGAGCAGGGCAGCCTCAGGGGTCCTACCTGGGCAGGACTGAGGTGACCTGAGGCAGCCATGTCCTTTGGGAGGAGCTGCATGCATATGCAGCCACGTGCAGCCTTGTTCCCCCCCAGAGCTGACCTCTTTTACTTTTCCTGCTCTGAACTTTTGCAGGAGTCCAGCACAGGGTTAGGTCCATATTTTGACCGTGGCTTTTGCCCCCGACAGGACGCATGTCGTATCGTAAATGATTTACAAAAAACCAAAAGCAGTCGTCTTTCTGTCCGCCCTGTCAGGCCAAAGCTGGCAGGAAAAAGCCTCCCAAGGTGTCCCTGAAGGTTTCCCCCGGGGGAATCGCGCTGCTGGAGCGCTCCACCAGTAGGCTCCTGGAGAACGTCTCCATATACAGGTGTGTGCTCCGGAGAGGTGAGCCGTTTCCCAGTCCTGCTCCTCAGGACAC